CACCACCTGTACAGCGCGCCCTGGATTACACACCTGCAAAATCCACGGGGTTCCAAACCGCCCAACCCTAGCAGAACTCAGGAAGCCCCACGTGTGCTTGCGTGGTTTTAAAAGTTAAGCGGTTTGGGACACGGAGGTCGGCAGCCATGCTTAGCGTAGTTTGGGGACTCTGTTTTCCGAGATCAAAATCACTGAGGACTTTTGTGTGCATTTCACTAGGGACTCCTGAAGAAATCAAGGGAGAAGATGAGTGCTGAATTTATAAGGATTGATGGTTGGGGGATTTTAGGGGAGTTTTAGTTTTACTTCCGTTTATAGACTCGTACCATTGGGGATTTTTTTTTTTTCATTCTCTGTACACACTAATTTATTTTTCCTTTAATCTTATAGAAGTTTGAGACTTCTGCTGACTGGGTTTGTGGGTGTCCCATGTGCCCCGGCAGTTTAAACTTAGCTCAGAAAGCATTTTTCTTACTAAAAAAGCAGTTTTTTACAGAAATGAGTCATAATTTTATTAAATGGTGAAGCATGCTAGGTTTCAATACTTTATCTGGTGTTTTAAACTTTGTTTCTTAAAAATTGTAATATAGTTTAAATCCTTATCAGAAAATGTTAGTTCCTAGCAAGGTTTTAACATTACTTTCTTCGTGAGAAAAATAAATAACAATGAAACAATATTATTGTGAGATAGCTCACAATTCTGAAAGACAAGTCAGGTGCAAGTTCATATATTTTTAAAGCGAATATTTATTTGTAGATTTTATAGTAAAGTTTCTTTCTACACATCAAAAATAAAAATAAAAAATTAGAACAAACATATGGAAATCGTTCGGAAAGGAATTGCATTGTGTCTTTGGGATTACTTTATGAATCTGATTCCCAAAAGCTGAGCCTCTTTGGCACAGAGTAAAAGAACACTTCTCCAAATGAGTTCATAACCTGTTTCCCAAGATTCTGAGGAGGTGCAATTGCTCTGTGATTCTTAAACTCCTTTTAGGAGAAAGGTATCAAATTCAATTTTATTCCGTTTGTTCACTTTGTGCATCATTTTCCTTTTCAAAAAACGTTTATTTATGTATTCATTTATTTATTTTAACATTTACTTCTTTTCGAGAGACAGAGAAAGACAGAGCATGAGCTGGGGAGGGGCAGAGGGAGGAAGCCGCAGAATCCAAAGCAGGCTCCAGGCTCTGAGCTGTCAGCACAGAGCCAGAAAGGAGGGGGTGGGGCTCGAACCCAAGAACTGTGAGATCGTGACCTGACCCGAAGTGGGACACTTAACCAACTGAGCCACCCAGGCGCCCCTGTGCATCATTTTCCTATGTGTTTTGAGAGTTTATTATATTTTCATTTCCTAGACATTTGGGGACGTACATTTTTTTACTCATAGGTGTACCATAAGACAAGCGTAGGCCAGTAAAGAGTATACCTGCAGTGATTCTTAATAGGCTAATTTGGCATATATTGCCACCTGGTAAGTATATGGAAGGCTAGAGTCAAATAGAGTTATCATAAACTCTCATATAGATGAAAATATATTTTCAGAGCCATTATGGAATGTTCATTACAAGTATACATTTCTTCCCTCTACTTATAATGATTACAAATGCAGTTTTAGATGAGAACTTTATATATTTCATCACTCTTAATTTTTTTTTTTTTTTTTTTTTTTTTT